CCCGAGCCGGGCCGAAGCGGCACCAGGCCGCCACCGAGCAGAGCCGAGGCCGCCCGAAGCCGCCCGCAGTCGAGCCGATTCTGCCCGAGGACACCAACCGAGTCGAGCCGAGGCCGCACGAAGCGCCCCGGCCGAATACGGGCCTAATCGGCACGAAGCCCCAGAGCCGAATCGAGGCTGCCCGAACAGGTGTCGAACTGGTACGAAGCGGCCCAGTTGGTCAAGTCTCTGGAAACGAGGTGAGCCGAAGCTCCCCGAAGCGAGGAGCCGAGTCAGTCCGAGTTGATCCGAGAGCGCACGAGAGTTTCCGAGCGGCTCTGCTCACGCCTTTCTCAGTGCCTAAGAGGCTGGGGGGGATACTGCCACCGGCCGACAGGGTCGACTGGCTCTTGGGTAGGCGCTCGCCTACCTGCGAAGCAGCTCGGCCTCTCAAAGAAAATCCTACGCCGAACGCTTCTCCTTCGAGTACACCGCCGCCAGCGGGACCCGAGCCAGCCCGAGGCCGAGCCGAGCTTGGCCGAATGTTCCCGAGCCCGAATCCTCCCGAGCCTCGGCTCTCCGCCTCCTCTTGTCCGAAAGCGCCCGAGTGCTGCCGGACGGACTTCTCGGGCCTCGGCCCCGGTTCGGCTGTCAACTTCTTAAACGCGGCTCGGTCGGGCCCCTTCGGGAACAGAAACGAAAATGGCCGAAGGGCCGCGAGCGGCGCGGAGCCCAGAGGCTGACGGGATCGCGGCGGAGTCGGCGGGCGGGGGCGGGGCAAGATGGCGGCCGCGAAGCGAGGTGAGCAGGCTCCGCGGCTCAGGCTGCGGGCTCAGCACCGTTCGGGTGCCGTCCCGCCGCAGACGATGGTCCAGGCAGGCGGCGCGGAGGGAGGGGCGCGTGCAAATACCCTGAGGCGGGACGGCCGGGCGGTCCTCGGGCCGTTCTTTTGGTGGCGAGACGTTCGGCGCGGGCAGCGCAGTGTTTGGGGTCACCTCGCGGAGCTGTGAAAGGCTTCCACCCTCAGGGCCTGCCGCGCTGGCCCACTCCCCCTCGCGGCGCCTGGCCAGCCCCGACCTGCGTGCAGGACTCGCACGCTCTTGTCAGCCCGTGGCTTGTTGCTTCCGCCGCGCGTCTTCGAGGTCCGTGCTCGGTGCTGCTGCAGACGAGCGCTGCCCCGCGCCGCCGCTCGCCCGTCTGCCGTGCTGCGGTGCCTCGCGCCCGAGGCTGGGGGCGACTGCGGCGTATGTGTGCAGCTTTGCTGGTTCGTTCCTGTTGCTGGACAGTTGGCTGTGCCTTCTTGGGGGCCGTTGGTAACGATGCTGCGGGAGGGATCCCTAGGAGCGCGGGTGGCGGGACGTGGTCTCGTGAAGTTGGAGGCTGAAAGACAAGGATCTGCAGGGTCGAGGAGGGGGTCGGCCGGCCAGGGGAAGGCCGTGCCCAGGGTGAGCCGACGCCGTGGCTGCAGCCACACACCCGAGCACGGGCGCCCACTCAGCCGGCTTGCCTTCAGCTGTCCGTCGGGGCTGTGAGTAGGGGCCTGCTGGGTGCGCCAGCAACAGCAGGGACACGGCGGGTGTCCGTGTGCAGGTGTCGGTGTCGTCGTGAGCACCTTTTCATTGGCTGGGTGCATGCCTAGGAGTGGCGTTCTGGGTGGGATGTCCCGGCTACTAACTGAAAAGTCCGCCCTTGGAACCCACCAGCTGTGGGACAAGGAGGTGGCCGGATGCCTGTGTAAAGATATGGCCTTGGGAACCCTGTGGGGTGGTTCTCCTCTAACTACAGGGTCACCAGGAAGCGTGGAGACCAGGCAGTGGCTTTGGTTGCTGGTTCGGTTCTGACTCTGGCCTTTTTCCTGAGCACAAGTCCTCCTGCCAGACCGCTTTCTACTTCCCTTCCCCCCAGAAGGTGCTCCTTTGGCTCCACACCCTCACCTTGGACGGGCCTTCCTCGTGGGGCAGCTCCGCAGAGGAGGCCTGCAGGGCTGGGAAGGAGGTGGTCCCAGGACCGAGGAGCTGATGGAGGGCTCAGAGAGTGGGGAGAAGCCACGGGGGCACCGTCCCCAGCAGCTTCATGTCTGGGAACCCAGTGCAGGGGCCATGTGGCGGACACCCTGCTCTGAAAGCTGGTCACAGCCAGCACGTGTGATGTCCGGCTGTGGTCCTCCTGCTGCCCGTGGAACACGCTGCGGGGGTATTTTGTTCATGATGAAAACACACCCTGCTCCTGGGCCAGAGCAACAGTGCTGGCTGCCAGGGCCCTTGCTGCAGGGCGTGCCCCTGCGCGGTCTCAGCTCCGGGCAGCTGGACCACAGCCGGAAAAGCCCATCTGCCCGTGTGCGCTCCTTTGGTAACTACAAACGGAAAAGCTCTGGGAGGGGGTGCTGTGCCTGTGGCCTTGGGGTCATTACTGTCCATTCAGGCATTCCCTCAGTCCAGGAATCGCCCGGCTTCAGTGCCCACCGCCGTCCACTAAAATGACGGGCAGAGACTGAAGAGACACTGAAGTAAAGCGGCAGGCCTGTGCTGCCTGGTTCAGGACCTGGGCCTTTGCCTGTGGAAGTTGGTCAGCAATCAGGTTTATTTGTGAATTTTCATTTGGAAAAAAATTGGTGCCACAAAGCGATCTCTTCTCACACCTGCTGATCACCTCAGGAAAAACATTTGCTCGCTCTTTCTTCCACATTTGACTTCTGTTCCAACGCACCTGTTGGTAGTCATGTTGTTACTACAGTAAATCATTGACGGAGACGTCAAGTCCTCAGAGCCAAGGGCACAGTCAGTCAGAATGCACTCCTGGAGGCCTGGAGCGGACAGAACGTTAAGTCTGATCGTAGCCACATTGGGTGTTCATTATTAAGTCCTAGATCCCTTAAGATTTAATGCCGTTCTTCATTTTCCCCCTGAGAAACTTGATCTGTAACAGTAGGCAAGTGTGAAATAAACTTGAAATGTCTCCAAAGCTGACCTTTCACGGAAAGATTGGCAGGGAGGAAACCCCCAATGAAAGGGAAACCAACCGAAGTAACCACAGGTATCCAGGAAGCGGAGTTCAGCGGGGCCTGGAAAGGGACAGATGGGGTTTAAGGAGTGAGCGCCCAGCCTGTAATGGGATGCGATTACAGGCGACTCGCACACCCTTCACCCTTGCCCAGCTTCCTGCTTCTGGAAACCCCTGCTGTAAGTGCCCCAGCTTCCTGGACCCCAGTGCCATCACGTGGGATGCCACCAACTCGGTGGTCAGGCCCAGTGGACCCGAGAAGGCGTCGAGTTCCCTGTGAGGCTCCTCAAAGACTCACCAAGGCTGGGAGTGTCTCCTGCCCTCCTTGGGGTTGTGGGAACACGGAGCAGAGGAAGGGGCAGGATCAGGCCCAGGCCACCTTCTTGCCTGCTGCCCAGCAGTACAGCGTGAGTCCCTTCCTGGGAGTCTGTGCCACATTCTGGATCTGTGCTGAAGTGTGGGCATTGATGGAGGTGTGCACCTTCCACAGACGTGCAGCTGGCAGGAGCCTCTTGAGACAGAAATTTGATCCGTGTTGTGTGTGATCCAGGGACGATCAGGGTTATCTTCAGATGCAAAGCCTTGGCATCAAAACTATCTAATAGGGAGAGAGGCTCCACTCACACCTCCAGAGTCACCCCAAACCAAACACACAGCGCCCCTAGAGGACAGAGTGGAACTGCCCCACAGGGTTCCCGAGGCTGTCAGTCTTCTCAGAAGCAAACTGCCTTATCTTTCTCTCACAGAGTGGCTGCTGAGTTCGAACTGCCAGCCGTTTGGTTAGCAGCCAAGTGCCTTAACCACTGCTCCTTGAATCATCCCAAGAAGAGGACAAAGACTGTTGTGGGGGTCGTGGAAGGTCCAAGAGCTCACAGGATGACAAAGGGATGGCTGCTTTAGGGAATTCTTGGAAGGGTGTTTGGAGCAGGGAGTAAAATCGCAGAGGACAGCAGGCACCAGTTGGGGGAAACTCTGTACGAGGCATGCAGACCTGCAGACCCCCAAGGATGGGGGAGCTGGGGGGGGCCCTCTGACCCTCACAGGATCACCCGGATGCTCTCGGTGCCCTTGTGGACGCCTCCAACCTCAGCCTGGAAGGTGGAGGTGGAAATGGTCCCCCGGAGGGACCCTCCATCAGCGTCGACACTGCCCCTCACTCACTGATGCTTTCTCTTGCAGGGAACACCTCCTCCACTGTGGTATCCTTCTGCTGGTCCCCCAGTCTGCTCTCTGCTCCTCTTCCTCCTCCCGTTTCCATGGTTCCCAGGACATTCGGGTCCGAGGGAGAAGGGGTTCATTAACAGATGAAGAGTAGGTATGCCCCCCCAACAGAGGATGCCAGCTCCATCACTCGCTGAGGACACAAGCTGGGAGGAGACCTGTGCACCCCAGCAGGAGGCCTGTGCCCGCCACGCCCAGGGCAGGCGGGTGGAAGCCACAGTTTATTAGCAGCTGCCATTGAGCGCTGGCAGACATGCATAGAGAGAGGGGGAATGCTCTCTCTGCCCGACTTGCAACTGGGGCACAGTCAGGTGGGGCCAGCAGGTGAGCTCTGGCTGAGGGCAGGGCTCCCAGCTGAGGTGGGCAGGCAGTCCTGGTCTGGACCTGCGTTTCCATGGTGCCCACATGACCTGCACTTGGGCAGGTGCTCTGGGCAGCGAGTGTAGGCCACAACCTCCTTAACCACCTGCAGCTCTCGTCGGTGTCCCTGCAGATGCTCTTCTGCCTGAGTGGGGTGTATCGCGCCTTCTACTTCATGGCCACACTGTTACTACTGGTCTACAAAAGTGAGTGGTGGGCGGGGGGACGGATGGGTGTGGCCACTGCACAGTGATGAGCGTCTCATCTCTGCCCTGTTCCAGGTCAGGTGTTCAGCTACCCGCAGCGTCACCTACTCCTCGATCTGGCTCTGCTGGGGACAGCGGGAGTGCTGGAAGCGGTGGGGCTGTACTTGGGTGAGCCCACGGGAGAGCCCTGAGGCCTTTTCCCCCATCCCAGCCCTCCAGCTCTCAGCCACTCTCCCAGCTTTTGGACCACAGTAAGACAAACGGGGTCTTCCTGGAAAGGGACTCTTGGTGCTTCCTGTAAGTCACTGGGAACCGGGGCTGAGATGACCGAGCACAGCCGAACAATGAAGTCGAGATTCCCATAATAATTGCTGGTCCTTCCCCACTTCTCCCTCCCCTCTGAATTCTGGGGGAAGGGGGTTTGGACAATTCTCATGGACTTGGGGACCTGGGGCAACCGGAACCTGAGAAATAGGAGGCTCTAAGCTGGGGCCACCAACTCAGAGACCAGCCTCCAGAGCCCCTCTGGGCTAACTCCCCTCTTTATGCCCACAAAGAATTCAAGAGTCCATCACAAGCCTCAAAGACAGAGCAAAACCCGTTCCACGCCGCCCGGCAACCCTGCCTTTGGGCCAGGAGACCTGGGCTTGGCCCTTGTGGCTGCCTTCTCTTCGATCCTGTCACCTGCATTGTGTACACACACATCCCTCCATTTTATAAGCAGGGTATCCTCTGCACACAGACTGCTTGGATGGGTCTTGGAAATTAGAGACGGTGACAGTGCCGAAACAGGCCCAGGGTGTGCACATCAACACGCTCACCCCTCACCATCCCCTACTCATGGCGAGGGGCCAGAACCCGCCCCAGCATGGGTATGCTCAGGGGTCAGGGTCACTGATACCCTCAGAGGCCCTCCAGGCAAAAGCCTCAGTGCTGCACGGTGCTCCAGAGGGGGCAGTGGGGAGGAGGCGCCAAGCTGCCGTCCTGAGGCTCCAAGAAGGAGCACAGGACAGGACCGCTGGTTGCGGCCCCGGGCAGCGCACGACAGGAAGGGTGCACCCTGCCCCTTCTTGGTGACGGTGGAGCAGCGGCCCTTCCTTAGGGCTCTAAGGGCAGCACCTGACCCCTGACCCCTGACCCCTGACCCCAGCCTTGGGCTCTTCCTGGCCCCCTGGCATCAGCCGAGGAGGCTGGAGGTGGCATGTCCCATGATTGGCGGGGGTGGGGGAAGGGGTTGTAAAACATGCCCTGGACATTTTCCCAAGTATGCCTGAAATCTTCCAGAACTGGCCATACCCCAAAGTCAGATATTTCTGGAAAATTTTAATAGAACCCCCCCCCCCCAGTCCACTGTGAATTAGAAAAAAGTGGCAAGAACACAACCGGATTTGTTTTCCAAGAAGCACCCACTGCTCTCCCTGGACCCCAGGAGCCAGACCTGCCTCACGGCTGCTGGGCTCACCCCGTGCTGAGGCAAACAGGCCCTTTCATGCTTTGAGCTTCTCTGACAGCCGTGAGTTGTGGCTGGTGGGCCAGGTCGACAGCATGCCCCTGGAACTCCAGTCCCAGCCCCACCCTGTGTGGCTGTAGGCAGGCTGTGCTCCCTCTTGAATCCTAAGTTTCCCGTTCTGGGAAATGGCTGTTAGGGTTGTACCTGTCTGCAGAGGCGTGGCTGGTGATAGCCCGCCTTCGCCCTGGGCAGCGGCCTGGCCAGCGTCCAGCCCCTGCCGCCTCTGCTCTGTCCACAGGCACAAAGGGCAACCTGACTGAGGCCGAGGGACCGCTGGCCGTGAGCCTGCTCCTGACAGTGGGCACTGCCCTCCTTGCTGCCTACTTTCTACGCTGGCAGACCCTGGTGCTGTGGGCGGATTCGGCACTGGGTGCTTTGCGCCTGGCACTCCACAGCCTCGAGGCCGTCCTGCAGATGGTCACCATCGCAGCCTTTCTCAGCTAAATGGCAGCCCACCCACCCAAACAGGAGCCTCCTCAGACCCCACCTGGCCACTGCCTCAGGCACTGAACAGGAGGGACATTGCCCTGCTTGACTGTCACATCTTTGGCAACGTGCCAGGCAGCTTAGGACAATCTACCAATGTTTTGGGGGGAGATGGGGCGCAGGAACCAGGCATAGTGCACGATGGGGACCTGGGTGTTGGGATGGCCAGCTCGGGGGTTGTGGTGTTTCACGACCACGATGGGCCATTGCCCATCTCTGGTCCTGATGCTGAGAGTCCAACAAGGGAGAGGATGGCACTCTCTCAGGAAGGAGGTGCAGGCAGGGAGGGGCTGCAGCAGGCTTGCAGGTCAAACCCCCACCACCTGGGAGGAGCTGCCTTGGGCTTCCCAAGCAAGCGGCAGCCAGCCACTGCATGGCGAGGATGGGGCCCTCAGCATCTCTCACTCGGGGACTCTCCTGGCCCTGATTGACATCTCCGGTTTTGAGGCCCCGTTCTTCCAAAAAAAAGGAAGAACTGGAAACAGCGAGGCAGTTATAACCACAGCCCCAGTGCCTCTCCGTTCCCCCCAGGAATTCTGTAAAAAGCTGGTCTTGAGGAAAGAAGGTGCAGAAGACGGGGTCTTCCCACACAGCCCGGGATGGCAGTAGGAGTACTGCTCCAGACCCTGGGCCTCCTGGTGAAATTTATGGCTTTGGACCGATGGCTGTCTGCTCTTGATCCTGGCCCAGCCCGATCTCTGGGTTTCCCATTTGCAAGCTTCCAGTGGGTGCTCCTTAAGGAAGGCACAGCCGGTACTTAGTAGACTCCTTCAGTCCGCTGTAAGTTCTCTCCATTTGGAACAGTGTCACGTTCACGTTTCTGGTTACTTTTTCTTCGTGCTGTATCCTGAAATAAAAAACACTGATACTTCCAGAATTTCTTCTGAGTCAAGGCTGCCCCATTGGCCATAGTAGGCCCCAGGAGCCTTGTTCCCCCTGGGGCTGGCCTTTGCCAGCAGGTCACCTTTGCGGCTCTGTCTTTCCTGTGGGAGTACCACCCATGGCCTGCCACACAGCCTGTGGTATGCCTGGAACCTGCACCTACCAGTGGAGGCCGAGGTGTGCCCGCTCATCAGAGGGAGTGGGAAGTGCCAAGGCAACGCCTACCTCCTCCCATGTCTCTGGCTGGCTGGCCTGGCAGTCAGCAGGGCCCTGCCCCTTCCTGCAGACCCAGGCAAGCCTGTGACGTCATGTTAACTTCCCACCCCATCATCACTACCCCCCACACACACACAAACCCAAAGCTCAAGACAGGTGCTGCTCACCTGTGCTACCCAGGACACCAAGGTTTGGGCGGGGCCCGGCCCTCAGGCTCTGGGGCTCAAATAGTGCAGTTAGTCTCAGCTCACAACCTCCCAAGGACAGGTCACCAGGCTGGATGTCAGGAGAGGAGAACCCTGCCTGTCAATGCACCCACCCTGCCACCTGCTGCCCAGGTGCACACACCTCCCTAGAAGCCTGACTTGTGCACGGAGTGGGGAAGGGCAGGGTGCGATGTGGCCCAGGGTGCTGAGGCCACACGGGCAGCACGGGCTCAGGCAGGTGCTTTGAGGTCGGTGACCAGGAACCAGGCCAGTTCACAGATGGCACTCAGCCAGAGGACAGGACTTGCTTCCTGCTGCCCCACCTGCCAAGGTCACTGTGATGCCCAGGAGGAGGACAGCCATCAGGGTCTGGCAGCTGCAGAAAAGGGCAGTCACCGGTGGAGGCAGCCATGTGTCTTCACCAGGGTTCCAGCCCCAGGGCACACATGCCAACTGCCCTGCCCTTCTGGGACTCCCTGCACCCCCCCACTCTGTGTTTAGTA